AAGTTTCCAGCCTGAGGACCAAAATGACATTGATAAATGGTTAGACATTGGTGGGTCCCTTGTGGAGGAGAAAGAGAAGCTGGATTCTGCACTGGAAAGAGACATGCAAGCAAGGTCCAGCCCACACAGGAAAGAAAGAAAGAGGCCAAACAGAGCAGAAGCATGTATAGCACTGAGCAAGCGAGAGGCAGGAGGCTGGTACATTGGACAGCATATCTGGGCAACTGTGAACCCTGGAGAGAGGAGATCAGAGCAGTGGTAAAAAGCTGCATCTCTGTGGTGGGCCATGTGCTTGCAACCTCTCGCTTGGATTAGCGAATGCTTTGTTTTGACCTGTTGAAGGGAAGGATGTGTCAGTATGGACAGAGTTTAAAGCAAAGCCAGCAATGGCTGGGAGGCGGAGTTTGAAGGAGGCACCGGAAGAGAGGAGGAGGAAGAGGAGGAGACAGGGAGCATGGATTCAGACGACATGTTAACCCATGTTTCAACAACCCATGTTTCAGTCCACACTGAGCCCAGTCAACCAAATAGTGAGTTATCAGGTTGTCAGAAACTAGTCATTGTCAGAATGTATGAGAAGCAAAGAGGGAGCAGAAAGCCTGTAAGTGTCCTTTATAAGAAACCACCTTCATAAAGCACACGTTATATGAAATTGGGAGTAGGTCTGTTGATTACTTAACAGTGTTACATGAAACACTTGTACTTTAATTGGCAGAAGAATCAAGCACCGATCAGGAGCCTATCTGTTGTTGTTGTTGACCGAATGTGTCTGGTCCATTTCCTAGGGCAAAGCCAGGATCCATTTTCCTATCCTTGAGTTGATGTTGAAAAATGTTGCGGGAGAAATGTAAATACTTGTGAAGGGCCAAAGACAAAACTGAGCCAAACCAAAAGCAAATCTAGAAGGCAACTTCTTGAGAAAACAGCCTTCCTTACTGTAGTTGTCGTTCCCCACTCCCCCCCGCCCCAGATGTGTTGGATTGCATGTCCCAGTATTCTCACTCCTTGGGAATGATGGGTCATGGCAGTGCAGTGCATTTGGAGGGCACCAGGCTGGGGAAAGATGAGATTCCAGAGCTGATTAAGATAGATCACTCATCATTCTGTGCAGGAGGAGTTACTGTGGCTTTCATATTTATCATTGATTTTTTCCAGGCTGAGGCTGTGTCCGGACAAGGCTTTCTCTACACATTCATGGAATTTTAAAGGGGATCAAGATGCCCCTATCTTCCATTTGTAAGCCTTCTCTGTTTTCCTGCCACTACTTCTGCCTTTTTTATTCCCTAGTCACACTACAAGCAAAGAAGCACACACCCCTATTAAGGGTGCATGATCCTAGGCATATTTAGAAAGGAAAAACATCCTACAATTCCTAGCTTTCCCAGTGCTATTTCTATATACGCAGAGCATTGCACCCTAGACAGAAAAGCTGCATTGACTGGTAGTGCTAGGAGCTGTCTGTCCGGAAGCACCCCAGGATTGCTTGCCCTTCCCAGATACATGTGCGGGCTGGCAGTCTCCCTGCCGTTATTAATGGGAGAGACACCGAGTTTCTTCTCCACTTTAACAGCAAAAGCCAGAGCCGGTCTTCATTCTCCCCCTCCATACTGCTGAGGGGAAACTTTATTTTTCATTTCAATGACAGTATTAAAAATAAATACATGATACAAGGAGATGTGGCCATCCTTTAATTGGAGAGAAAGAGGAAAGTACGCAGCAAACTGGAGGCAGAACAGAGAAATCTGACACAAGGGGACATGTGATCTCCTGGAGAAGGTGGGGGAGGGATGAGAGAAGCAGAGAAACTTGCAAAAGGAGCTGGGGGGAAATAATTCTTTTTGAAACATTTCTTAATAGCACCAAATGCTTTTCCAATCTTCTGCTCATCCGTCATCACAACAGTCCTCTGAGGTAGGTCCTAATGTTTCTCTCCATCTCACAGGTGGGAAATAGGCTGAGTCACTTGCTCATGGCAATCTGCAAAGACACTCTCCCCCTGTGTGGTGCCTTCCAGAGGTGCTGGGCAGCAGCTCCATCATCCCTGGCCAGAATGGGAGCTGTAGTTAACACCTCTGGAATGTGCCAGGTTGGAGACGGCTGCACTAAGTCCTAGGATTAAAGCCAGCTCATCTCCCAGGCCAGCAACCTGGGAAATGCAGTCTGGAAATAGGACAAGAGATCTGCATTGGCTGTGGGGACACCTACATACCGCTTGGCCATTGGTGAACTGCACCTGGCAACCAGGTAGTGCACAGGTAAGTGCATGGCATTCCGCAGAGGGATCCTTGCGCACTCATGTACCAGGGTGCAGCCGTGGCCTCACGTTCTTGGTGGTGCTTTCATGACTTCCTTCTGTGGGAGTTTGCCAAAGATTTCAAAGTTCTGTATTTTTCGCTCTATAAGACGCACCTGACCATAAGACGCACCTAGTTTTTAGAGGAGGCATCCATGGAAAGCTTCCTGATAATCACAGGCACATTCCCCATCACTTCCCCATGGGCTTCATTAAAAGATGAGTTGCCATTTGAAAACACACACCGACCTGTGATTAACAGCTCTCACCTGTGCCGGAGGAGGGGAGCGGAGCAGGGTGCGCCGAGCGCGTGCCGGCCAGGTGTGGTGCAGCCGGGCCGGCAGTGGTCTTCTGGGCAGCGCAGCGGCAGCAGGTCTTCCCGGGCAGTGGGGGTGAGCAGTCCATCTCTCCGTGTGGCTGGCGGGTTAAAGCCCGCGGCTCCTCCTCCTCCACACCGCTCCCCCTGAGCGGCACAGCTCTCACCTGCGCCGGAGGGGGGGGGGGCAGAGCAGGGCACGCCAAGTGTGTGCTGGCCAGGTGGTGCCACATGGTGAAGGCGGCCGGCAGCGTCCTGGGCGTCGGGCATACACACATTTGCTCTATAAGACGCATAGACATTTCCCCTTACTTTCGAGGGGGGAAAAGTGCATCTTATAGAGCGAAAAATACGGTACTCTTAAGACTGGGTTTGCTGGCATTAATCAAACGGTATGATTACAAGGCATTCGTAGCATCATATATTATCTTTCCATAGGTATTTCACAGAGCTATGACATCTCGTCAATTGAGAGGGTAATCTTATGCGTTTGCCACTCAGTAGACAGCTTGGAGACAGCTCCAAGCCTCCAGCTTTCTGTCGGCCGAAAGCCCCGAAGGCAAAACCAGGCAGGGTAGGGCCCTGCCGCTTCTTCATCTTCATCTTCTGCTGCTAAGCTGCTAAACCGATGTAGCCAGACGGCTTCTTGGCCCATCTGGCCAGCTAGCTCACCAGGGAAGGGGTGGGACGGCAACCGAGAGGGTCCTGAATCAGGTGGATCCAGGCAACTCCTCCTCTGCCACCTTGCCTTCTCCCCCCGCCATGTCACTTCTGTGACCTGGGCGGAGACGCCACTGTGCAGCTCTCCACAGCGGCCTGTCAGGGGAGGAGCCAGGCCATGCTAGCGCGACTCCAGTTGCAGAGGAGAGGTGTCCCCAGGTGTTGTCTGGAAGCCACAGGATTGCTCTATTCATCCATTCCACTTAAAAAAAGGTGTTTTGATTGCTTAGATTGCCCTCAATTAGCCTCAGGCTAGCATGTGCATTTATTTAAATAAAATGCAAAGTACTTTTAAAGGAAAACTGTGGGCATCAGACAGCTTATCAGATGAGGCATACTTTTTCCTCTGTGGAACACTTTATGTACTATACATACAGGGGTGTGTGTGTGTGTGTGTGTGGTTGTGTAATAAGCTTCCTGTCCTAGGGCAGGGGTGGGCAGCTCTTAGGCCTTGGCCTGGTTGCAACAGCCCTCTGTAAGCCATCCATCCTGATCTCTGGCAAGGATGATTTGCCCCTTCCCTGGCAGCCTGCTGGCCAGGGAGGAAGAGAGAAGGGTGGGATGCAGAGATGGAGAGGCATGTTGGTGGAAGAAAGAGTGGGCTGGGTGGGTAGGTGGGGGGTCCAAAGAGCCCAAGAGCAAGAAGCCAGATCCACCCATCCTTGACTCTGGTTTTGCTCACTGCTGGCTTTGCCCCAGCCCATCATCCATACGCGCCCCTGCCCACCTTACCCCTTGGCAGAAAAGCAAGCTCCCTTCTCTTGTCTTGCATGGTGCTTGAAATGGCATGTGCATCATGGCAGTGGCAGAAGATGCCAGTACAATCTCTCCGGTACGTTAGGGAACTGGACGCCTTTTCTAAAATAAGAACGGCCAACTTCCTGCCACCTGCCCGGTCCCCACGGTACTTGATAAACATGCTGTTGTAGCAGCAGTTATATTATAACTGTGCCCTAGTCAAGAAATCCTTACTGATTAGGGCAGTCTTTCCCAAGCTGGGCTACAGCCCCTCAAGGCAGGCTGCAGTCCAACATTTCTGGAAGGCACCAGCTTGGGGAAGGCCACCTGAAGATGAGGCAGACCTCGCCAGCACAGGATTAGGCAGGGGAAGAGAACTTGGGGCAACAGAACCGGAAAGGATGTTCTGTTAGGCCTGGTGGCCCAGCATTTCCCTCTCTGTGTCAGGGAAGTGGATTGTGCCCAGTTCGCGATGGCTCTTGGAAATGAAGTGTCCCACCAGTTGTGCCAATGATCTATTTTCAGTTTTACAAAGGAGTAAAGGGTGCAAGGAGCAGGGGTATGTGGAGGAGAGGAAGCAGATATTAGCTCTCCAGTGCCATCAAGTGGGGCAGAATGGGACATGGCCGGATCTGGCCCAAGAGGCATAAGCCACCCCATCCATTTTTCTCCCGTCCCGGCCCCGTGGGGAGTTCTGTCTTGGAATCCCCTGGTGAATTTTGCCCCAGGTTAAGCAGCAGCGATGGAGGGTGAGTGCAATTTGGATTTTTCACCTGGAGCCCTCAGATGTTTTGGCCTGAGCATGTGCATGAAAGCAGGGGGGTGCAGAGAGAAGAATATTTTAGGACTGACATGTTCCAAGGATGATAAGTTCGTATGTGTTCTCTCCAGCTCTCCTTTGAACTAATTGTCTCTTGACAGAGGCCAGGTACCGGTTGGTTTGCCTGGCACTGGAGAGAGGCAGGCAATCTTCTTCCCTGTGACCTCTGTGTGGTCCTTGTTTTCTTTCTTCCCCAACCCCAAATCAAGTTGTGCTTGAGTCATGGGATGCTTCTGAGAAGCACCATCACCCAGAGGGGTAATAGGGAACGTTGTTGTGGTAGTTGTAGTCAGGACACACTTTCTGCACAAGCCTGTAGTCTATGCTGTAGAAGGTGATGTAGATGCAGATAACCTTGAAGGGCTTGGAGCAAACCCAGGAGACTTGGCTTTGCGTGTGGTTCAGGAAGCAGGTTTTGGAAGGGTCGTAAGTGCACAGGGTGGTCTTCTTGGCTCTGTCCACTTTCTCGAACTCCACCCGGCAGTTGAAGATCTTGGATTCTTTGGCCTCAATGAAGATTTGCTGTTCAAGATCAAACTCCACTGCTTTGTTTGGGGGAACCAGGCTGACAGAGATGTTCCCCTGCCCGGTGGAGTTGTGACGGAAAAAGACATTCACTGTACCATTTCCATGGTCCACCACTTTGCCGGTGATCAGGAGGTTTAGCTTGACTGTCTTGATGTTGGAGTAGAAATCGCCCCAGCCAAAGATTTTCTTAATCTGACTGGGGCCACTGAAGCCCCTCCGGCCACGCGATTTCATGCCTTGGTCCTGCTTGGACAAGCTCTCTAAGACGTTCCAAAACTCTTGGGTATCAGAGGAGGCCAACTCCAGCAGAGTTGTGTTCTGAAATTGAGAAGGGACTGTAGAGGACTTCAAGGAGAGCTGCCCTTTTTTCTTTTGTACCCTGGATCTTTGTTGTTCTTTGGGTGATTTTCCATTTTCTTCCTCCTCCTCTTCTGTTGTCTCATCTTGGCCACAGATCACCTGCATGGAGCGAGAAGAGATCATGACCTCATGGAGCAGCATGAGGGCCAAGAGCCATTTTGGAGAAGCTCTTGGGGGGCACATTCCAGTGGTGTGTGGGGAAGAAGGCAAAAGGGATGAGGTCAAAATGCCAGCCTATTATTAGGTTATACCTTTTACTACCTCTTACTAAGTCTTAGAAAAAGTATTTCAACCTATTAGAATGAAGGAGAACCTGCTGAGAAAGCCCAACCTATGAGTAGTTGGGGGGAAATTTCTGTTTGTAATCCTAAATACAACCAGGAGTGCCCTTTCTCTCCTTTTTTAAAAAAGAAACATTAACCAATTCTGAGTGTAGGTTTGTGTTTGCAAAATGCAAATTGTGTGTGTGTGTGTGTGTGTTTAAAAGGTTTGAAGCTGGCTTGTTTCAAACAAATTATAATTAGATTAAGCACAGTTTATTGGGTCTGGATGATGAAGAAAGCTGTTCTTGACCAGAAAAAAGAAAAGAAGTCACAGCTCGTGAGCAGTTCCTCATGACCACACCAGAGGAGATGGTGGGAGAGCCTAGGGGAGGCCAGGCTCCTCTCGGTCATTCTATGAACCTTGCTGATAGTGACAGCCAGCGGTGGCATCATATTCAGGGCTTTCCAGGCAGAAAGGGCAGCGAGCGAGGACGACAGGAGCCATTTAACAGAGCGGGAGCCGTGCAGCCCCCTTGAGGATGGCAGGGAGTGGTGTTGTAGGGCCAGAGACTGCAGGATGCAGCAGTGGTACCTTTTGTCAGCCAGCGTCCTGCCACCCTCCCCTCAGTCTTCCCTGTTCCCCCCCGAGCTCAGCTGCGAGCCTTGCAGAAGCTGGCTGATAAAGGCAGCGGAAAGCCTTTTCTGCTCTCTCTTGTCCTGTCATGCATTCTGGGGTGCCCTGATCTCGAATGGACCATCGTGACCCATCCGCCTTAGGAAGGACCTGCACCTGGTGGAGATGAAAGTGCTGGGATGGGCTTGTTGATATGAATCAACACAGCCGCCCAGATTTCTGAACTCTCCTGGAGTTTGTGGCTATGGCGACTATTGTGATGAGTGTCTTCACTGCTGAAGTTACCAGTGGATCACTGTGGGAAGAGCAGCAGGAATTATAACTGCACACTGCCGGCAGATGCAGCATCTTTCAGCCAGAAATATCCATGGTCTTCCTTCAGCAGGAGGATCCAGGTGAGATTTGGAAGACACTCAGTTGAAACAATGAACAGCCACTCAGTTTTATACCTGCATGTCCTGAAGTTCTGACATGCCTTCAGTACAGAGTTTGGAGGTGTCCTGGCTTTGGTGCGCTAGAATGCAGCTGATCAAAGGGGGCAGCCCCATTGTTTGTGCTGAAGGCGAGGCAACATCTTTCTCCTAATGGTCACTTTGGTGGTTTGTGGGTTTCTCAAATTGTCACAGTTAAGAGAAACCGCCTCTTTCCTTTCAGAGCCTTGGGAAGGCAACGCCTCTGAGCTTTTGCCACGGCATGCTAACATTTATCCAATTAATCAGTGAAAGGCCTGGCACTTAATTGATTGAAAGACCTTTAATTGGTTGGCAGCTTGAGTGAAGGCTGAAAAATACGAAGCAAAGGGGGAAAATAAAGTTGTGTGTAATCAAGCATGGCTTGTGTTAAGGAAATAGCATCTGCACTGGTGAGTGATGCAGCAGCATCTGATCAGTCGTGGTCTGATCCTGGTTGGACCATGGCTTCTCGGCTACACCAAGAAGCTCCGGTTTTCCAGGAGGCTTTCCAACCACTGCTGGGGTTCAAAGCCTGGGAACCTCTGCTGCAGAGCCCACAGTCCTCCTAAAACATCCCAAAATGAATGACAGAGCATGGCCACTGGAATAGCCACCTCTGGCCCAAGCAATATGCAGAATGTTGGAATGGCCGTCAGAACAAGACTTAGCACGCTTGCTTGCTTGCTTGCTTGCTTGCTTGCTTGCTTGCTTGCTTGCTTGCTTGCACCAGAGGTGTTGCATCGTCCCCAGCCAGCCCAGCCCAGCCCAAAGCATCACACTGCATGGGGATTGTCTTGGATCCTCCGAGTCACACCCCATTCTGTAAGCAACGCTTCACTCAGGACTTAACATTTTGATGCCTGTTCTAAAATTCTGTATCCCTGGGACTGGTAAAAAAGAACCAGTTCATTCCAATGGCCATCCAGTCGTTTAGGATATCCCAACCAGAGGTGTTATATCTGTGGCTGAGGATGTCGTGTGTGGCAGAACATTGCATCAAAATGCATTCCGGATTGGCTTTCGGTCCAAAAGCATGAAAAAAAGATGAATGCCTCTGAACATGTGAGAAGTGCAGAGTGCCATGACAGGCCACACTTACACGGCTGGGATTAGGGGCCACAAGGTTTCTCAACAGCGTTGAGCTTCACCGCTCCTTCTTGAAGAGACGTGCTGTATAAACCTGGTGGGAAAATTACAGTTCTGGACTGGATATATTGGATTACAGGAATCAGTCAAGCCAAGGTTAGCACTGAAGAGAAGAATCCTTCCCAGAAGCCTCTGCATTTTTAAACACATGGGCAGTGTAATCCCATGTGCTCAAAAGCAGAGTGAATTTCGCTCTGGGGAGCTGTATAGCATGGCCCCATTTGTGCAGAGCATCTAACTTGGCTGCTTGCTGTACTTCCTTTGCCACTTGAACTGGAAAAGTGCATCTTCTGTGGAGCTTGTCCTCTCAGCACGTATGGGGGAGGCATTCCTAGTCTTTTCAGGCCCCCGAAGTCTGAGGGCTTTGCAGGGAAAGCAGCTTGTGAAGCAGGAAGTTTGGCTTCCTCCTTTGCCATATGCTCTTTAGATGGCCTTGGGCGGACGTCCCTCAATTCCTGCTGTTTGTAATATGGAAGCACTGGGAGGATGATGCGATTGGATCCAGACTTAGTCATACAGGGAATATGCCACCCCCAGCTTCAATTTCTTCATAAGCTTACTCTGGGTATGACTAAGTTTTAGTCCAGCCCAATATTTACTGAAGGCTTGCAAAAATGCTGGTAGTTTTCCAAGGACTGCACAGGTATTGACAGATAAGATCATCCCTGCTTGCAACCTAATAGACACGATACAAAAGGAAGATTTTTGTATCTTCCGGGGAAGCCAGAGGAAAGCTAGGGATGGTGCAATTGCCAGGTTAGTCTTGGTTGTTATGGCTGTGCTTCCTGGTAGAAAAGGGTGTAGCAAGCTCCCTATAACTGATCCTTCTGTGGCTGATGGATGGCCAGAGTGATCTCCCCCTGGCCACGCGGTTCCTCCTGGAAGGCAGGGGATGCAGCCTTCCAGTGGCCCTTGGCCTCTCAGTTCTCCAGTCCCAAGGCAACTCTTTACTTCTTCTTCTTCTGCATCTGTATCCCGCCTTTTCCCCTCTTGTGAGGGACCCAAGGCAGCTTGCATTGTTTTTCTCCCCTCCATTTTTATTCTCAGAACAACAGCCCTGCGAGGTAGGTTAAGCTGAGAACTCGTGTCTGACTCAATGCCCCCCAGTGAGCTTCATGGCCGAGTGGGGACTGGAACCCCACTCTCCCAAGTTCTCAGTCCCACATTCTCACCACCACACCACATGGGCTCTCATACACCAGGTGAAGGGTTTGACGCTCTCTAAACACTTTAAAAGTGGCTTACAGGGTATTGAGCTTGATTATTATATGTGATCCGAGCCCTGTTTCACCGCTGGGACTCAGCTATGGGACATCTGGAAGGAGGCCCCTTTGGAATGTGGCCCTCACCCCACCCAGCTTGCAGGAGTCTTCCTCATCCTGCTTCAGTCCTGCCTTGAGGCCAGGCCAAGCTGAGCTCAGATTCAGCGCTGGCTTCAGCTTCCAGAGGGCTGTTGGCCCTGACACCTTCCTCAGCCCTGCCACAAGCCTCCCTTCTCACAGCTGATCTTCCCAGCATCTCTTGCTCCTCATCCTCTCTCCTCATGGCCACCCCTGCTTGACTGATGGGTGGAGAGCCAAGACAAGCAGGCCAGGCATCCGCTGCCCTGCCTTCACACCAGTACCCTTGCCTGGGCCAGACCAAGAGACAGGTGGACAAGCAGGCTGCAGTGAGGAAGAGGAGGAGCAACTCCGGGGGGGTGTCTTGAAAGGGGGGCCTGTAAAGTTCCAGGCAGGTGCCCAGCCATGCCTACCCTTCATTCCAGCTCCACCTGAGGTCCAGATTTTGCATCACTCACCCCTGCTGGCTGTTGTTAAAACAAGCCACAGTGCTAGCAGGGGCCAATAACTATTTTAGGGACATTAAGTTTATTTGTTATGGGTGAACACTAACATTTAGTGGTCATGAGGGTGTTTCTTGTGCTTGGGTGGGGAGCAATCAGTGAGACAGAATGCCCTGCAGTTCTGCACAGAAAGGACACTTGCTGGGGAATGCCTGGGCACATGCTTTGGCCCCAACGGCCCCTGAGTGCCAGCCCAAAAGTCTGAACAGCACTTCGGATTGTGTTCCAGAGCCTCTGAATGTTGGTTCCGTGTGCAGTTGCAGCTTCAAAAGGGCTGATATTACCCAGTAAAGCTCAAGGACATTTCAACGCCCTTGGTAAATGACCGGGCCTCGCCATCATCCTCACAGCCTCCCCAGTAAAAGACGACAGTTCAGAAAAGAGGATGAAACATGGACATTTATCGATACGCATCAAGAGCATTCTGACATTTCCTGGTGGCTTTCAAAGTCTTTTAAGAATTGCTGGTAAAAAGAACAACATACCTCATTTGACATTTACTGTAATGCACGCATCTGCCATGGTGGGCCAAGGCATTTTTAGAGGGTTCTTGCACTGCTTGGACACCCACTCCTGGCTTCATCTCTATCCTGTATCCTAATTTTCCCTGCTGCTGGGACAACAATTCCCATCATCCATGTTGGCTGGGGATGATGGGGGTTGGAGTGCAAGGCCAGCTGCACCACAGTGGGGCTCCCTCTACCAGCCTGCAGTTATTCTAGTATCATGTCAGGAAACGGCCTGCTGCAAGGTGAGGTTGTTTGCGCATCTTGCCTAATTCTCACGGGCATCCAGCAGCTCTCCAAGATCTTGGGAAGACGTCTTTCCCGTCGCCTGCCTCCTGGCCCTTTTAGTGAGATAAACCTGGGAACTGCACGGTTCCCGAGCCATTAGGCTTCCCCCACCCTTATTGGCTGGAATCTCGAACAAAAACTCCAGC